ACTACAGGGGGCGCTGTGTCCCTGTAATTACACCTCCCACACTACAGGGGGCACTGTGTCCCTGTAATTACACCTCCCACACTACGGGAGGCGGGGGCGCTGTGTCCCGGTAATTACACCTCAAACACTACCGGGGGACGCTGTGTCCCAGTAATTACACCTCCCAGACTACAGGGGGCGTTGTGTCCCGGTAATTACACCTCCCACACTGCAGGGGGCGCTGTGTCCCAGTAATTATATCTCCCATTCTCCAGGGGTGCGCTGTGTCCCGGTAATTACACATCCCATACTCCAAGGGGGCGCTGTGTACTGACAATTGCACATCCTGGTCTATACGGGACGCCAGATTCTAACAGAATCCAACACGGCCCCCCCTGTAGCCTGGGAGGTGCAATCCAGGAGGTGGTATTATTTACTGGATTGTTAATCTGGAGACTCATAATATTCTGGGAGTTTGGGTTCAAATCCCACCTGGGCAGATGGTGGAATTTGAATTTAACTTTAAAAAACCTGAAATTAAAAGTCAATTGATGACTATAAGTCAATTGTCAGGAAAAATCCATCTGGTTCACTAATGTCCTTTAGCGAAGGAAACTGCCATCCTTACCTGGTCTAGTAATGTGGTTGAATCTTAACTGCCCTCGGGTAATAAATGCTGCCTAGCCAGCGATACCCTCATCCTGTGAATGAATTTTAAAAATCCCACTATTTTTAGTCATTTATCTAAATGATTTGGATGTGAATGTAGAAGGTATAGTTAGTAAGTCTGCTTATGACACCCAAATTGGAGGTGTAGTGGACAGTGAAGAAGGTTACCTCAGAGTACAACAGGATCTTGATCAGGTGGGCCAAGGGCCATGGAGTGGCAGATGGAGTTTAATTTGGATAAGTGTGAGGTGCTGCATTTTGGAAAGGCAAATCAGGGCAGGATTTATACACTTAATGGTAAGGTCCTGAAGAGTGTTGCTGAACAAAGAGACCTTGGAGTACAAGTTCATAGTTCCTTGCAAGTGGAGCCACAGGTAGATCAGATAGTGAGGAAGATGTTTTGTATGCTTGCCTCTAATGGACAATGCATTGAGTTTAGGAGTTGGGAGGACATGTTGCGGCTGTGCAGGGCATTGGATAAACCATGTTTAGAATACCGTGTGCAATTCTGGCCACTCTGCTACAGGAAGGATGTTGTGAAATTTGAAAGGGTTCAGAAAATATTTATAAGGATGTTGCCAGTGTTGGAGTGTTTGAGCTATAGGAACAGGCTGAATAGGCTGGGGCTATTTTCCCTGGAGTGTTGAAGGCTGAGGGGTGACCTTCTTAGAAGTTTACAAAATCATGAGGGGCATGGAAATGGTAAATAGGCAAGGTCTTTTCCCTGGGGTGGTGGATCAAAAACTAGAGGGTGTAGGTTTAAGGTGAGAGGGGAAAGATTTAAAAGGGACCTAAGGGGCAACTTTTTCACGCAGGGGGTAGTGCATGTACAGTTTGAGATGGCAGAGGAAGTGGTGGAGGCTGGTACAGTTACAACATTTAAAAGACATCTAGATGGGTATATGAATAGGAAGGGTTTAAGAGGGATTTGGGCCAAATGCTGGCAAATGGGACTAGATTTATCCAGGGAAATCTGGTTGGCATGGACGAGTTGGACTGAAGGGTCTGTTTCCATGCCGTACATCTCTATGACTTTATGAGCCTATAGAAGCAGGCCATTCAGACCATCGATTCCACTCTATCCTATCCCTGTAACCCTGCATTTCCTATGGCTAATCCACCTAACCTATACATCTTTGGTCTGTGGAATGAAACTGGAGCACCTGTGAGAAACCCACGCACTCATGGGGAGAAAGTGCAAACTCCACACAGACAGTCGCCTGAGGGTGAAACTGAACCTGGATCCCTGGCACTGTGAGGCAGCAGTGCTAACCACGGAGCCACCGCGCCACCCAAAGGTCAGATGGTGATGGAAGCTGCCCCATCATCGCAGAGACTTGCCTGCTCTAGCTGTGAGGAATGTGGCCTCCTGCTCACCTTCATTTTATTTTAACCAGTTCATGGGCTCAGCAGAGCCATTGGATAAAGGGTGCAAAGTACCAAAAATTACACAGCCAAGCCAACAGTGGGTGAGGTGAGGTGGGGGGAGTGGGGGGTGCGCCATATCTCAACAATTACACATCCCTGCTTACAGGAGGTGCTGTGTCCTGACTATTAACATCACAAACAACAGGAGATTCTATAGGATAACATTTCAACGTTGTAATGTAATTCCCTGTCCTCTAAAATGTTTAATGGTGTAATTGCATTCTATACAGTTACACTAGGAACAAAGGAATATACAGCATTGGAACATTTGACTTAGAAGCAGGAGTAGGCCATCAGTCCTCAAGCCTGCTTCACATTTAATTAGTTGATGGTCAATTCAGTTATAGTCTTAACTCCATTTTCTGTCTAACGCTCCACCCCCCCACCCACCACCCCCATAAAGCTTGAATCCTTCACTATAACAACTATCTAAAATAAAAACAGGAGGCACTGGGGAAACTCAGCAGTTCTGGCAGCATCTTTGGAAAGAAAAACAGTGTTAAAAGTTTCAACTTCAAGATGAGTCTTTTTCAAGAAAAATCTATTTGACTCTGCCTTGAATCAATGTAATGGCATGGCCTTCATCAATTTCTATGGAAGAGAAGGCCAGAGGCTAAAGACTTTCTGCAACTGAAAATATTCCCCACCTCCATCTTAAAAGGAAAACCTCATTCTTAAATGTGTGCCCTTCTCTACCCCCAGAGATCAAAGATGCTCCTAGCATCAATCCTATCAAGTAGCCTGTATGTTTCAATAAGATCACCACTCATTCTTCTAAACTCCACTAGGAGTAGGTCCAACTGTTCAATCTTTCTTCATAACACAGGCCCTTCAATCCAGGAATGAGTCAAGTAAACCTTCACTGAGCTGTTAAAAAATCTTATACTTTTCTTTCAAATGGGAAAATCAAAGTTGCACACTGTACACCAGATGTTGTCTGACAAACACCCTGCATGGGTGCAGTAAAACTTACAATTTTACATTTCAAACTCCTTGCAATAAAAGTCAACATTCCATAAACCTTCTTAATCACTTGCTGTAGGGATATACTATGTCTATACTAGAAGGGTGGGTTAAGTTGTCTCTCATAGTTCTTTCAATTTTAGCAATAATGACACACTGTTGTATGCAAAGTCATGGCCATTTTTTAAAATTTATTTATTCATTTGTGGGATGTGGATGTCATTGGCTGGGCCAGCATTTCTTGCCCATCCCTAGTTGCCCTTGAGAAGGTGGTGGTGAGCTGTCTTCTTGAACCGCTACAGCTTTCCTGCTGTGGGTTGATCCACAATGCCATTAGGCAGGGAATTCCAGGATTTTGACCCAGCGATAGCGAAGGAACGGAGATATATTTTCAAGTCAGGATGGTGAGTGGCTTGGAGGGGAACTGGAAGGTGGTGGTGTTCCCATGTATCTGCTGCGCTTAGCCTTCTAGATGAAAGTGGTTGTGGATTTGGAAGGTGCTGTCTGAGGATCCTTGGTGAATTTTGCGGATTTCATTCTTGGATTCAAAAGCTGATCGGGTGCACCTAGCTATTTCTTATATTGGAATTGTTTTTTGTTAAGTCCTTGGGTGTTTCCATATTTTCACTCAGACAGAGAGAGATGTGTCTGTTTGCTAGCTCTGGATGTTTCTGGCTGCATTGCACTCACAGGTCTATCGCAAACTGTAACTGAACCAATCCAAGGGCTGTCATCAGGCAGTTTTCCCTTAACTCAAAAATTCCTGCTGTAGTTGTGTCTCAATAATGTTACAACCTCACTGTTCCAAAGCACCATTTTCTTTTTAACAGCTAAAAATGCATACTACTCGATTTTCATTTGGAAAATTCTCCTGGCATTTTTGCTGTCTAGCAGTGTTCAATTTCTATTGCAGTTTAAAGTCTAAATAGGAAAATATATCTGGTCGCTTAGTCTCAGAAAAAGATCAAAGACAGTGGCTCTTTCATCATTTCCTTATGGGCGCAAGATTTGAAGAATCTATCAGCATAAAGCAATTGGAAGCATTCCATGATAAAATAAAACAAAGAACTGCAGATGCATTAGATCTGAAACAAACAAAAACAGAAATTGCTGGAGAAACTCAGGTCTGGCAGGGTCAGTTCACACCTTGAGTCTTCTTCTGCACAAGAAGAGGCAAGCAAAGATGATATTTGTGCTATTGATGGGAGGGCGAGGAGAAAAGGAGTGAGTAGATAAGAAGAGAGGAAACTCAGAGAGGAAAAGAAGGATAGGCAGAGATAGAGATTATTGACAGTAGGCCAGGGAAGAAGAGAAGCTAGATAGATGATAATGGAGACTACGTTTTAAACACATACTATCTTCGCAGTCTGAGATTTATTTGCAACTTCAAGTGGCAGAACAAAATCTCCAACACCAAGGTTTTTGCAATGTGCTACATACCTGGCATGGACAGTATGCTCATTGAAGCTATATGATTCACATGAAGGTTTCCTGGATACCAAAAACATTGTACTACAGTCTAAGTGTGGGAAGTCACATCGCTGTACATCCCAAGCCTGTC